AAGCTCTGGATCTCTTAGTACTCTTAATTTATTGCAGATTGTAACAAACCTTGCATATTTCAGTAGATTACACCTTTGTTACAAAAGATTGTTCATTTAACCTTTAACTCCCATAGGTAATTAACATGCAGTGCTCGAAATTAGCAGTCATCCAGTCATCCAAGACGACCAAAAAGTTTACCGGGCAACCAATTTTTAGTAAAATTAAGAGGCTGGTTGTCCGGGGGAAAAAACAACGGACAACCCAGCCAAAAATAGAATATAAATTAACCATAAACAGCACCTGACCTATGTGACAGTTTTGTTTTGTCAATGTCCGATAGTGTGAAGTTAATAATAATTTGCTCCAGCTAAGCATTTTCCTGTGTTTTGGATGTCTGTAAATTGTATAGAACATTGTCAGGTACGAAAATGTAAGAGACAAACACAAAGTTTCTTGTCTAGAGGCGATCAAGATCAAAGACGCCACTTTGAATATGCCACAACTTAAACCCAGACTTCCGTGAAACCCACTGCCGCACACTAAGAACTATGGGATTAGTTCAAGCTTGACCACCATGTGATTTTCTACCGGGCAACCAAGGATTCATCAGGGCAACCAAATTCACGGCTTTGGTTGCCCAGCTTTTGAAATAGGGACAACCTGGATTTTTTTTAATTTCGAGCACTGAACATGTAACTTCTCCCTGTAATATCCATACATTATCCACCAAATAGGTAATGAGAATATTCAAATTCATCTGGTAGAAGTTGATATCTTAATCTAACACTCAATTCTCATAACTAATTTGCTACAAAATGTGCAGCAGCTCGAGGGGAGAATTGACAACCAGTTCTTGGGAGTTATAGGGTTAAAGTTACTTATGCTCAAAAATGACTTCAGTTGTAAAGTCTTGATATTCCTGTGAGGTTTGAACCAAGCCTTTATGTTCTATTTATTGAATCTGTAGCCATTAAATTTTATCTTTTGTATGTTTTTAGTTAGGGAAATTGTTTTTATACAGGGCTAGCCTCACGATTTTCCCCTTTTCCAGATGTATTTTTTAGTATTTGTGTTGTAACTTCCTGAACAAATGTTATGTGTGCACTGTCAAATTTGAACCAGCCATAATATCGCCACCATTAAGTGAAACTTCACCTTTTAAAATTGTATTAAGTGAATAGATCATTCTAATAATACCAGAAGTGGAAGGACACAACAAAATAAATCAAAATAAATAGACTTTAGTGGCTTGTTTTCCACTTCCCTGTTTAGAAATTGATGTTAAATTAACACTGAGTCTTACCAAGTAAAAAAAGGCCCAGATAAAAAATACACAGTGTCAATAACCCAGCAATGATCCCAACAGCAACTGAGGCACCAAGAAAAATCTGAAAAGAATAGTCTCTTCTTCATTTCTGATCAACAACTCAAATTTTGCTCTGCCCTCTTTCTTTTTAGTTTAATAGTGTCTCCAGACAAGAAAATTGCTTATACTTCTAAAACTCATCCCAGTATCACAGCATGAAGCATGAGGTGGCAGAGTATTTTGAAACCTAGGGGAGGGGTTTATCTTTCATCCAGCCATGCACATATCCGTACTCAAATTAATTTCCTAGACATGCTGGCTAGTTTGATGGAGAACTACAGCAGCTTATAAGCTCCTCAAACACTGGCCAGAGCCATTCAAAAAAAGTATTGCACATTATTTTGCCAATTTTTTTGCTGTGCTAATGAAATTTTTGGCACCAGTTTTTATTAGGGAGGCCATGGCCCCCTGCTCCCATTTTTCTGTTGCCTATATGAAGGAACAAGGAGTACTACCACTTTCCTTGGGTGGGAAGGTAGCCATAGTTTACCCCCTGAATTCAGGCTCCCTTTCTTTCACTGGTACTAAACATTCCTACTCCTCTGTGAATAGCGGACATTCTCAGAGAGAAGTGCCTTGCCCAAGCACACAATTCAGTAACCCTTGCTGCAACTTCAAACCCAGTACTTTTTTATTCAAATTTCATTACCATTTGACCATCAGACAAGACCAGGGCAGATCCAGGAAATTTTTTTGGTAAGGTCTAAACTTTACTTCAGAAGATACAGAAAGGTTTTTGTTTTATATTAGAGCCCACATCGGCTTAGAAATCATTGAAGGTGAGTAATTTAAATTATTTTAAGTTGAGCAGTAAAATGTTTTCCTGCTGTAGAAAGAATTTCGGTCTCAAACAAGTGGTGACAAAATCCACAGTTCTAATGAGAGGGGCTCCAGTTCCCCTCTGCCCTTTTCCTGGATCTGTTACTCAAGCCAGTGAAATGCAAGCTGCCTATAAAAGACTGAATTAATCTACAAAAATGATAATTTCTCTTCAGAAATCATTTGCATCAGAGTTTTTAAGAGAAGGAATGCTGTAATCCCATACCTGATCTTGGTGCTCCAGAGCTTTCTCAGACAGGTATTTCACGAGATATCCAGAACAAAACATATAAGTGAAGAAAAATCCTGTTAGGAAACCAGCTAAGAAGAGCATAAACTTGAATATCCGGTATCCTGAAAGGAAACAAATTTAATGCAATAAATATTACATGGATTTTATTTGCAAATGCAGACATTCACTAGTATTCTGTATATCTTAACACAAGGTAGATCATTAACAATTTTACAACCAAAACAAGGTTCTTTACCGAAATTAGAAATAAAAATTTTGTTCCCTATCAGTTTCTATCACTCAAGTATTGGTTATACATTTTGTGTTCCTCTACCTTTATAATGAGTGTTAATCACTATCTTAAAGTACTCTATACAAAAAATATCAGCAGTAACATAAATTACACCTATCTTTTCAACTTCTTGAACTACTTGCAGAATAAGACATCACGTCTCGAGTATCACATTTGACGCGCCTATAGAAACTTAAAGCACTGTTATTTTATTTTTACAGTTTCTATACATACGTCGAATGTGATACTCAAGACGTGATGTCTTATTCAGCAAGTAGTTCAAGTTATTCAAACGCATTCCTAGCCTCGGCAACTACTATTTCTTTAAGATTTTCAACTTCTAACTTCACTAAATATATAACATTTACTTAGGAAAGAGTTTGATCTAACCCCATACATTAATTATGCATAGAGTGTTGCAAAGAAACCTTTATATTTAGTCTTTATGAAATGAATGCATAATTAATGTATAAGTTTATATGGAACTCTTGCCTTTACTTGAAATCAAAACAGTCCAGTTATGTTCATGTATGCTTTGCAGACCCATTTAGGTGTGTGTGGGAAAAGAAGGTGTAATCACAGGGGGCCCACACAGGCTGTGTGTCTGGTCATTGTTCGAAATATAAAGAAATGTATGGGAGAATATTGAAGAGTCATAATATCGTAAACTTATAACAAGGAATGTCTATGTGTTAAGGCTCAGAATAAATGTAAACCTACCTCACTTACTGTGTATTGTCATTTCTATGGTTCTAAATCGCGAATTTGAGCGATTTGGTAGATTTTGCGTTGAGTGTTACTTAACTGTATAAGAAGGAGACATGGGTGGAAAGCTCATTTTTGACCGCTCCAGCACGAAGCTGATTTCCACCCAGAAATTAGAGTCACCCGGCTTCCAAATCAAACACCAGATAAACTAAAAGGTTGACGCTTCTTCTCGTGTCATTCAATTGAAGATCCATTCAAAATCCAAGCACTAACCGCCAAAAATCATTCGAAAAATGCAGCTTTCCAAGCGATTGGCATCCTTGGCACAGATATGGTGTGCCAGGGAGCAACTGTCACGCTGTTTACTCCACGTTGATTGGATGATGGTAAACAATGCCGTGTTTCAAATGCCTCATGTGACAAAGGGGAGTCAGGGGCATATTAGCGCTGGCAATTCATTTACTGACTAGCCTGGTGTGAGGTTTATGGTGCGTGATGGAACCCTACATGACCTCAAACCTCTTTGTTCACGTAATAATCACAAGTATCCTCTCAAAGCTCACTGGGTTACTTACTTTGTAAGTAGTGTAAACCGTTGTTACACTGTAAATAATGTGAGTAGTCATATTGTACTGTAAGTTACTTAAGTGACTGTATTTGTAATTTGTAATTTAAATAAGAATAGCATCTATTGTGTTATGCCTCATTCTTCAAAGCCCCCCGACACATGTAAATGATGTGGACGGGTATTCTGAAGTTGCTCCTTGTAAGGTTGTGAATAAAATAATAATAAAACAAAAAAAAATTTAAAAAAATAAAATAAAACAAACATTAAGCTTGTATGTCATCTTTGTTTGTGCTTATATTGTTGCTGACCATGTTAATTCTGAAAATAATCACAGTGTCATTGTTTTCAGGATAATCATAGTTGAGACAAGTAACTGTTTTTCGCACTCGTGAATTCAAAATTTGCATAAACTTACAGTACGTACGATCTAAACCAGCAAAACGAAGGAGAAAGAAATTTATCAGTATATAGCACAATATCATCGTTAATTAGAACACGTTGGCAATAAAATTTGTTCCTAAATTTCCCTTATCTAATTCCAGGTCACTTACCAAAGAAACAAATGATCGATCCCAGAAGAATACCAGTTGCAGCAACAATGCAGCTTTGTGAGTCGTAAGAATTATGCAGCTTGCAGCCATCAGCGTCTGGTTCCACGGTCATCGTAGGTAAGGTAGGAGAATATGCTGCTAAATGCATTTTGAATACCTTGACGGCTTCGAGTAACTCAAGCACTTAGATGTACAGCGGAAAGAATGTCGTTAAATGATACGGTTATTATCTCGGGGAGCCCTGAGGCACACTACCACTCTTACTCAGACTCCAAAGAGCGTTAGGCCCTGTTTACAAGCAAGGAGGGTAACCTTTGTGTTAGGGCTACCCTAGCTGGCGGGTCAAAGATTGCCCGGGTTTACAAGCAAAATTTCACAGGTAGGGTTACCCTACCACCCGGGACAACATACCCTATGCTTGGTAACCGCACGCATCGTTATCAATGTTCAAAGGGTCTGGAAACAAGTAAAAAGTTGTACTGGGTAGGCGAGTTATCCCCAGCAGAGCGTTTACAAGGCAGCTGCAGCTAGGGTTACCCTAGGGTAACCCTAGCTTCCTTGTAAACACGTCGATGAAAAAAAGAAGAAAAGTGGGAGCGTTAGGGTAACCCTCCTGCCAGGGTAACCCTAGCACTAGGGTTATCCTACCTGCTTGTAAACCGGGCCTTAAATTTATTCTTTCTGCTTAGTGAGTAATTAGTTGACAACATTTAGATCACATGGTGAGTTTTTTTCATGATTCCATAACGGCTATCTAAACAGTTTTTCCATATTTATTTAACAAGTTATTTCTTTTCTATTAAAGTTAACAACAATATTAAGTATACGGTAAATGAGAGGGGTGAATAGGCAAACGGTCGGCGGATTCTTACAATAATTTTGTCTGAAATTCGGATTTAGGCCGGATTTAGAGGATTTAGAGCGGAATACGTGGATCCTACAATCGCAGCGGTTTTCATCGATTTTTTGGGCCCAGATTTTGGATTTTGCTCGTGAAAAAGTTTGGATCGTGGATCTCAGTGATTGTCAGAAATCTTGTTTTGCTTTTTTTGGCGTGTGCCAGTGCGTTACTGTAGTTTTCTTCTGTCATGGACAAGACTCATCGAATGTCACGCAGCAGGGAAATAGTAACGCACTTTGGCCAGGAAGATGTGACATGTTGCCAGCAGGACGTGTTTTATCTTCGTGCTCTTGTCAGTTTGGGTTACATTACAACTATATTACTGGGTCGTACCATGAGAATATCAACTTATCAGTTTATAATCTCCGGTTTGAAGTCTTTTGGTCGTTAAAATTCGTTTTAAGAACTAAACCACAGCAGCAGCACTCTTACAAACCGTGGCCCCCAAACCTTTTCTCTACCTTGCCTTCAAAGTTTTTGTCAACTTCGCCTGTTCCTGTTTGTGAATCCGGCCAAGCCTTTATGCAGGTCTTTGGTCCACGTAATAGCCGCTAACTGATGGATTATGAAAAAGGCGTTTAGTCAGTGTTTTACTGGTAAAACTCCCTGAAGAAGTTTACGACAGAACAAAAGCGTTGGAAAATAAAACAAGTTTTACAGCAACTGTTTTCAGAGTGCCACTCACAAGTGTAATTAATAAATATATTTTTAATTTTGTCAAAAAATGTTTGAAAAATTGTTCTTTTAGTTGGTTGTCTTACAAAAAGCACGAGAACGATTTTTAAAAAATTTGTTTAATTAATATACAAAAGCTCAAGGTGCGTTTTTTTTTTTAACAAATCTGTGTCAAGTGGCAAAAATATTCGGGTTAAACATTTTTTTAAAATGGATCCATGGATTTGGTTATTAAATCACAGCGGATCTGCGGATTTGCAAACTCCTATTGACCCCCTCGGTAGATGGTTTAAACCCCTGGGGTAACACGTGAAAGTGTAGTGCGATCGTCCGGGTGAGTGTCAGTAGTGTGGCTGGGATTCTGCGCAAGGCCTAACCAACAGCAATAACTACTTTCAACGACTGGCTCTGGAAAGCTGGTTTACTAACTTAGAACAGACTCCCCTCGACAGGTGTCGTACAAACGACTCATTTGCGACATTAACGTTATAAACGAACCGAACAGAACGATCCAGACGCCTGTGTGAGATGAGAAGATGTGGGTTTTGCCGATCAAATCGCGTCTACTAAATACTGACGTTATCGTGACCCACAAATAAAAATCCTCGCGAATTTAATCCCCTGCAGAAAATTCAAGTCACAGAAAAAACAAAAAAGATCAACATGTAATAACAACAACTTATGCAAATTTCTTAGATTTGACCGTGAAAGTTTAGACATTTTGAAAGATGAAAGTAAGTTGAGAACACTTGAGTCGCGAAATTTCGTGTCTTCTTTTCATATTTGCCTGCTGAATCGAAAAAATTAAACCCTGCTAAAAACCATCACGCCAAAAGCGCGAAATTAAGCACCAGTAAAGTAGTTTCACCGACTGTCCATCTTTCACTTTTATTAATAACAAAAGATACCTTGGATACGGTAAATATATAAAGTTCATATATTTTCATATATCTATAACCGCAGTTCAAAATATATGAACTTCATATATTCACCGTATCTGATATATCATCACGGGTTTATTACGAATCAACGGCCTGCTCCCTGAGTAGGCTTATTAGCTCAATTGGTAGAGCGCTGCACTAGTATCGCAGGGGTCAGTGGTTCGAATCCCATACAGGTCTGATTTTTTTTCAGGTCTGATTTTCGCTATTGCATAAATAGCGCTCTCTACTGCGAGGATCGTGCATCCTTCGTAAACGATACCCTGATTATGAATTTTGGAACAGTCTTCAGAAATGACAAGAAATGACTAGACTACGTTTTGGAAATCCCTTAGGACTTTATGACCATTCAGCTCGACTTCTTTAACCCGGGTGATGTAGTCAAATACCGGTGATATGAATCAATCTTCAATTCATGGGAGTAAAAAACAAATGGAATAACTAATTTCAGAAACTTGCACATTAAGCTAGCTATTTGAACTTGTATTCGTCGGTATCAGACAAATACAAAAACTATCATACGTTAAATATAATGAAGAAAACATTATTTCCGCCTGAGGGTCTTGGCAATTTTGTCCGTTAACCCAACATCAGTCAGCAGAATAATAATGTAAAACTTTTTTACAAAAAACTCCCAAATCAAGTCTTAACAACGTTATGATTACAAAAGCTGACGTTTCGAGCGTTAGCCCTTCTTAACAACGTTGTTTATGATTGCCGGGAAATCTTTTCGAAAAGGCAGCAAGTTCCTCTTCCAAAGCTGTCATTTTGATTGGCTGCACTACAACAATTTTATCACTCGAGGATTGATTGAGAAAGCAATTTGACTGATCAGTTTCCTTTTTTTTTCCCCAACTGATTCTATCCTGCAACATCGCTGTGACTTCTTTTGAAACACTCTGAAATTATTTGTCAAAGGAATGAGTCAAACACAGATTTAAAAAAATAGTCTCTGTTTTAAGTGCATTGCAATTCCTAGTAACATTTGTGGTACACTTTAACAAATTATTATCACACCTAACGTACAAAACTTTTCAATAAAATTTTTCTTAGTTTATAAATTGCCTCGGCTGAGCCGAGTATAGCATTATAAGAAAAATAGAAATTTTCTTTGGTCGTTTGTAAACCTTTTGCAATGAAATCTCGCTACGGACAAGTAAAAAGCATCAAGTTTTGAAAACAGAGTACTGCCAAATATTTCTTCTAGACAAGTTACAACCTGCGAGCTCGAAAAACATTATACGAGTCAGTCAAATAACATTTGCGTGTCTTTTTTTTTTTTAACTAGTGCCCTTTATTTTACATCTATCTACCTATTCTAAATTACTGTTTCTCTAAGAAGTAATCCTTGTTTTGAGATTTTAAAAAAAATTCGGAGCAGTTCCATTTCTCTTAATTTCCGTAACTGCGGTGGATTAACCCGCTTCACATCTAGATTATCAACTATGTAATTGATTCAAATAAACTTTATGGAAAAAAAAGGGAAACATGTTTCGTAAGAGGAAGCTACATGTACTTGAAGCCGTGAACTAAACTGACTGAATTGCCAAAAAAAAGGATTACTGAGATAGAGAAGCGAAATGTGTTGCCAAAAGTAAAAAATGATAAAGAATCTGCGAGTTTTTAAGCGAAAAACAAAAGAAAATAGCCTTGACTCTAAAAATACTGTTTAAGCCTTTGCATAGTTCTTTAGACATTACAAAAATGCCTTTAGAGAT